TTCTCATGAGATGAGTTAAGCCAACCCAAGCTCATAATAGTACTTCGGGTCATTTCTATCGGCGTGATCAAGTATAGAAACAAAGAAAGAATTGTTGCCTTCCCCACTTTGCAAAAGAAATGGCTAATACAATTAGCACAAACCCCACTTTGCTGCCCTCCATTATATGAATATCAGAATATGATTTATTTTTTAGGGAAATCATGAACCTTTATTTATAGTGGTGAGTAATGTTGGAATTGATTGATTAAATGTTAATGCACTTAAGATTTTCCTAGATAATTGCGTTGTATTGTATGTAGCCTACAACTATACTTGATCAAGTTGACGTATTAAATTAGTATTTTGATTAAAACATGATTATGCTTATATAAATGCGTATGAATTCACTTGTGGTTTTCCTAGCTTTACTCTTCAAAACTTATATATAAGCATAATTAATGAATCTCTTTCCTCTCCCTCTCATCGGTGTAAAAAAGCTAGTTTTACTAAAGTTGTTATTTTATTGTAAGCGGCTTGTAACTTAAATGATTAAGAGCATTTACCTATGCACCTGAGGTCATAGATTCGATTTGCCAACCTTGGATTTTTCTTGTAACATAGGTTGTATTTTGGTATTTAGGTGAGGGTAAGCATAAATGTAGGCCCAGGACAATTTTTGATGGAGTAATTCTATGGAAACCCAAAGTTGATCTTTGGACACTTTATTTAATATATGGTTTTTATATGTGTTCTTTTTAATGTTAGGTGTGGCATAACATTTTAAATTTGAGCCTAATTTACCAAGTGAAAAGAGTTGCTAGGGGTGAGATGTACCTAACCCAACACAGTATAACACAAAAAAGATGAAATTAAGCTGAAAGGAAAAGAAGAAGAAAACCAAACTAAGAGAAAAGAAGCATGAGATGAACCCGTACCTTCCAATAGTATATATAATACTAGACAACAACATAACAACCGTACACAAGTGCACACGTACGTGTATAAATACGATCGACGTTGTTTCATGCTAAAGAATCGATCAGTTCGTAGATGTTCATGATTAGATGAAATGCATGCATGCATGAATGGATGGATCATGGATGCAGATACATTAATTTGTTATAGTAGGAGTAGCTACATAGCTAGCAACAGACGCCACTGCAGAGCCCATAAGGTCCAATGTTAATGGGAACGCAAACACAGCCGATCTGGCAAGGAGCCACCAAAAAATTGCAGAGGTTGCCTCTGCACCCATTGATGGTGCCCACACCTCCACTCGTTTCTAGCTCTTTCATCCTCCCTGACATCAACGCCAAGCTCTCCTCGTTGAGACGACTAGCCATGGGAGCAGCTACCCCAAAATTTCCATCATAGAGATTATTGGCATCGATGATTTTTGCATCACATTTGGCGTCAGGCTCAGAGGCGGGTGCTTCAGCAATATTGTCCTTGCTAGGGTTTCCATAGGCAGCTGGAGCAAAGGTGGACACCGTAAGCACCATGGTCATTACCACGGCAAAACATAGCTTGTTGCTCATCATCTCCATAGTTTTCCAATATCTTGATTCTACGTATACCCCTTTGTCTCTGTCTCTCTCTTGAGCTTTTGTTTAAATACTTCTTCCGAGTAATTTATATATAAGTTATTATAACCAACAATTGCATGCAATATGCATGATTTATTTTCCTCATTGGGATCTGCCTAGTCTTTTGTGAAATAGTACCATACGGCAGCCTAACTTAGAAATAACTCATGTTAATTTCGTGCCTTGTTTTGTTTCATAGATAACTAATCACGCCATCTTTTTGTGTCCTCCAAAACATCAAACCCTAAACCAAATATTTACACCTCATTAGACCCACGAATCAAAAAACCCCATTGACAAACCAGGAAAATAAAAGTAGCAAAAAAAGTGAAACTTGAAGGAAGCTTCAGGTTGGTAGCTAATTTGACAATTGATATGACAAGGAAATAAAAAAAAAACTTTTTAGGATAAATATAAAGAGAGAGAAAACAAAAAAGAATGAAAGAAAAAGAAAGAGGATTTCACTAATAAACCTATTTTAACATGACATAATATACAAGGATTTCAACAAGGGCGGCAACTCTGATGATTATTACCCCCAATGATGTCGTCTTTTGCCAACAACTTACTCCGCCATAAAAAGTTCATCAACAATATCTTGATGACAAGGTATTTGGTAATAATCATGAGAAAGACTAGCACAAAAATGATCTCTTAGCCAAATTCAGAATTTGCACGGTCTACTTTTGCAAAGACGCAGCAATTGTAGATAAGTTTGTTGAATTTCTCATTTGAGAGAAGCGTCAAAGAGTTAGATATCAGCCTTAGAATGAGTAAGTTGCATTGGAGCATTTGGGACGAAGTGGGTCGAGTTTTTACACTCGTCCCTCCCCCTCCTTTTTACACTCGATACATTGTCGACAATCAATACTCCAAATCGATTTCTTTATATGGATGCCATGAAAGTGTGAAGGCCACAATCGATACCCCAAATCTATTTGAGTTTCATTTCAATGGTTACATGAACTACTCCAATTTTCATGTGAAAGTTCCAAATTTAAGGGTGGCAAAGATTGGAATTTGGGACGAAGAGTTATCCACCATCGACTGGCCGTGGAAACATTTTCCTGCCCTAAGAGATTTTCTTAAAGAATTTTGTTGCATCCAACATTTATATATCCTTGCTCATGATTTTAATATCCCTCAACTACATTGGTGACTTGTGTATATTGTAAGTTGGTTCATTGTGCAACCCTTTTCCCTATTTGTGTTTGTTGTTGTGGATGGTGTAGGCTCTCATCTTTCCAGAAAATTCAGAAAGACATTCTCTACCAATAGTATTTCATTGAATGCACGCACATATTATGAACTTAAAAAGTATATTGAGTTTGATTTAGCTGCTACAACATATACCAGCGCACACCCCAATTGGCAAAATTCCAAAGGGGATGCAATAACACCCACTCTTGCAAGGGAGCACCAGCATATTGCATAGAGAACCTTTACACCCATCACCGCCCTTGCCCACGCCACCACCTTCTTCCATATCTATCCTGTTCATCAGAGTGGGATACCGAGTCTTACTGTTATCGTTGCCGTTACCATTAGTAGGTTCGTTGCCGTTAATTATTTCGGCAGCGATAAAGACAGTTTTTGTAGCGAAGGGGGACAGAATTAGCACCATAGCCACCCCCACCATACCTAGCTTCTTAATATGAGCCATATCATATGGTATAGGAATGTTTTGTGCATGCCTAGCTCTCCTTCAAAACTCTTATTTTATAGCTGTTGAATATGGTACAAACCATCATCTCATTTGATTTTGCGTGACGGGAACTTTGTTTTTTTGGGTTTATATTTTATGGAAATTAACGTATTGTAATTGTAGATGGACGAGCACATTTAATAAGAGCATCCACAATAAACTCTGTAAACCACCTCTTTAGACAAATTTTAGGGAAGAATTATAAAAATGCAACTCCAACCATGCTCCCTATCCACCTCCTAAAATAAGGAGTCCTCTAGGAGCTCCTAAATCTGAGGAGAGAGAAATGACTCGGCTCCCTATAATTTACTTAATTTTAATGCTGTTTTATTTAATGAGTATTTCAAACCTTTACTTAATGCTAACTATTTTTTATTTTATTTTTTAATAGAGATTGACCAATCAAAAAAGAGTTATAGCATTTATGACTCTCTAATCAATATGAAAATTAACTTATTGTAATTGTAGATGGACGAGCACATTTAATAAACATGTCAAATAAAATAAAACTCTTTATAGTAGTAAACCTTGATATTTATGATATTTAAAACTCTTTACTTTTGAACTATAATAATTTTCTTCCAACAAAAAAAAAAAGGAACTATAATATTTTTCTTATGACTAGTGTCATATCCTTTTTTTTTTCTTTTATATAATTATCATACAGATGGTATTTATGAAATTTATTTGTTTAATAGATTAATTATTGTTCAATTTAACATTTCTTGAAGCTTTTCATTTAAAAAATTATCTGTGTTTGAAAAAATTTCATAATTTTCATAAATAGTCATTGATATAAGAATATACTATCTACGTGACAGGCTCAACAACCAAGGGCGGAACCACACTAAGGGCTACAGTGGGTTGTAGCCCAGTGTGGTTTTTTAAGAAAAAAAATATAAAACTTATATATATTTATATATATATATATTTAACTTATTTTCAGTATTAGCCCAGTCAGTGGCACTGTACAGATTATCTTATTTCCATTTTCAACATTTAAGTAAATGTCTTTGTCATTTTACTTTTATTTATTTTTATATTACTCTATTTACTTAAGTTTACAATGTAAATAAGGAAGTACCCTAAAATCCCATAAAATCAAGTTTTCTTATTTGATGTGTAAGGAATAAAAGCCGCCAAAAATTATCTTAAGAAAATGATTATTTCGAAAACCCATTTTTCATACTTAGTCAATATTTTTACATAAAATAACTTTTCATATATAATATGAATGCATGAAATAACCTAAGATCAATCTAGGTAAAAAAAATCTTAAATGTTCAATCCACTATGGTGTTAAACCCTATTTGGTTTATGTTAAAACTTATTGAAAATTAGTCTATGGAGCTATGAACTAGCTTGGTTTATATGATTTAATGTTTACTTTTATTTCTAGAAAGACTATAGAAATTGTAAGTATAAAAAAAAAAAAATCACTAAATTTTAAAGCTAATAACTTTAGCTAGCCCACCCGTTGAAAAATTTCTGGTTCCGCCCTTGTCAACAACATTATATGCTACATGTTGAAAGGTAGAGTTATGGACTATAGCTTCAATATAAGAAAACATATATCGTGAATGCCATGGTACTAGTGTCTGCGACATTCCCCCTTCCCTTTCTAACTTTTAAAATTTTATATATATGGGAAATATTACCAAACAATAAAAATAAAAATAAAAATGAACTGGGGTACAAAATGCTCAATTCAGACCAATGAAAAATATGAGAGAAAATTAATAAATTAGGAGAACGAAAAGTGTCGTTCTCTCGGTCTAACACAACAACTAGGTGGAGTGAAGGTGAGTGACAAAAGCGCAGCACAAAGATCAGTTCTTCTACGGAACGCACGCACTGGACACTTTCCACAGATAGAGAGATCACTTCCATTGTCTCAGTTCAATCTCTCTCTCTCTCTCTCTCATAATCTACCTGGTAATGTCTCCTTCTTTCTCTTTGTTTAATTTTTTTTCTCTCAATTTTCGTTGATTACTGTTCAGATTGCTCAATGATGCCGATGGTTGATTGTTAGGGTGTTTGAAATTTTCGTATTCTTTCTTATTTTTCTCTTGATAAAGTAAGAATGAATTTGTTTCTTTTTTGGGTTGGTTTCCCAGAGAAAGTGTGAAAATTTAACCCAAGGTTGAGATTTTAGTCATAGTTGGTGTAGTTTTTTACTTGGGCACTTCTTCAATCTCATTCTAGGATATCTTAAACATCTTAAATATGGAATCTTTTTGAGTTTCTCTTGGGTTCTCTTCAAATTTTCTTAGCAACCAAATGGGTTCTAGTGTTGCCGTTTCCTGAATGACAGCAGCTGCAAAACTAGATTGTAGTCTCTGGCTTTTACTCTCTCATCCCTCTGTAAAGGAATGGGCTTTTTTGTTATAATTCTTAGGATGGTATAAATGTTGATGGTTCTAAGAATGCATGATGAAGATTGTAGGTAAAAATGGAGAACCCAGAAGCAAATCAGCTTCCTGAAGTTGATTCATTGCCTGATGGGTTTGTTGAGAGCCCTGCAGAGCCCCTGGCTCCTCCAACTCCAACCTTTGAACAAGAGAAGCCACTGGACAATCGTGAGGATGATATTGCCTCAGATATTAATCGTTCAAAGGAACCTGTAGAAGAATCGGCTGCAGATGAGTTTCAAACAAGTCAGGGTAGGGCAGAGAAGACCCAGAAACTGAGAACCTTTCCTGTTCCATTATCGGAAACTGATAGTTCTGATGTTTCAGTAGAATCAGTTCAAGTGCCCAAAAGGGCTTCTACGGAGCAGACAGAAGAAGGAGGTACGCTAGTCATGCCCGACTCAGCTGATTCTGTTTCTGAGACTTCGGTTGGGGTACCTGAATGCAGTGAGGTAAAGGAACAAGTTGAAGCAAGATGTCAAAGTTCAGAGAGACGTAAATATCTTTACCTTTGTGATTTTCCCTTTTAGAAAAATTTAAGTCAAAATGTGTACTATTATATCTGGTCTTTTTCGTTTGATCTTTTGACATTAGTTTGCCACCCTCATTTCTCATTGCTTTTCAGCGACTGAAGGAGGCTCAGATGCGTCAGCAGCCAATGTGAAGGAAACATCATCATTGGAGAGCGTGGAAACTCTGAAAAGCAAAAAGACCGTTAGTACTACGTATTACTTGATCTCTTTTTTATATGATATCAATTTGTACAGTTGTTGATCCTTGCAATCTATGCAAGAAATCATGTGTGTGATTTTCTTTGTTGAGACTGATATTTGTGATGCAATCTTCACTCAAAATGTGTACCTGCAACCACATTCCCACGCACACATAAATATTTACCTATCACACAAATATGTTATACATGTAAGTCATCAGTAAGGTTAGTAATGTGGACTAATTTTGCCTCAGGAATCCACTGAAACCAAACGTAAGAGTGCAAAGCGTACCTTTAAATCAGAAAAGGAGTTCATAGAGTTCACCTTGAAGTATCAACAAGTTCTTGCTGAAAGAGATTCAGGTATTTTGAGATAGTTGTGTGAATGTTTACACCCAATGTTTCCATAACTAATATACTGATGTTTACACCTCCGATATTGTGGGTGAAATCATATATTTGTTTAGGAACAGTGAATGTTAAGTATAATGCATTTATGTGGTGGTATAATAGTTGATGTAGAAATGGACTACTTACGCATATGATGTTTGTGTGTCACAAATTTTCACGAAGTCGAAGGGTATGAATAATTGCCAATTATCAGTAACTAGATGTGATAATGTTGATAACCTAAATTAAGATTAATTTCTGATGGAAAGATGTAGCTTTTGCGAAGTCTTAGTGCAGTGGCATACCTTCATTGTATATATGCATGGATTTTTATATATTATGAGCAGTATTGTAGATGGTTTTATTATTTATTTACTTGCATCCTCTTTTCTTTCTAGCCATTTCTGTTCGAGATAAGCTTGAGTCGTTGTGCAGGGAGTTACAACGCCAGAACAAAGTGCTAATGGTATGCTATCTTGACTGACTGCATATCCTTAAAATGATTTGTTTGTGAACTTTCATATTTTCATATTTTCCTAGTTCTTCATTATCATAATTTTCATCTCAGTGTAATTCTTTAACTTGTTTAGGTTCCGTTTGACCATGCAAACTTAATTCTTACTTTCTATTAATAGCCATTGGTGAATTGGAGTAGAGGTCAGAAACTAGTTTTTACAACCATTGGATGTACCCTTAATACATATACCTGGGCCTTGTACGGCTCCCGTTTATTCATACCATGACTAAGCTCACTTAACTACATTGCAGGCCTGTGACAAGTTGCCCTCGATGTCTTCCTGTTTTCTTTTTTCTTTTTTAAGTAAAATAGCAAATGTGCAAAGAGGCACCTGAAAGTATTGATTATCTTTTTCTTCATTCTCCCATTACTTTGAGCTTGAGCCTAGGTTGTTTCACGAAGTAAGGGTGCATTGGGTGATTCTGCTTTCTTTTCTGTCATTAGTTATTGAGACATATTTGGTGAAGGAAAAAAAGGATAAATTTTTGTGGAGTTGAGTGAAACTTTTCAGTTCATCTAAATAAGATCTGCTGTTATCATCATGTCCAATATATTCAACATTTTGAAATGATAAGTTCACATTATTGACTTGTGATCTTTTACAATTTTTATGTCGATATGTTCTCTACTTTGACTGTATCTTACCATTTGATATGATAATTTGTGAAGTTGATCAATACTCAATCACCCACCTAGAAACATTGATGGCTTCCTGATCATTTAAACAGGATGAGTGTAAGCGGGTGTCAACAGAGGGGCAGAACTTGAGATTAGATTTATCAGTCAAGTTCCAAGATGCAATAAAGGTTTGACAATTTATAATATAATAGCTTTTCCTCAGGGGATTTGAATATTTATTGTTGTTGGCTAATTAATTTGTAAGTTGACAAGTTAAACTTAATCCAAGGTTGAACAAACATTACCTCTATTATACACTACAAAACATGAGATCTTTTAAAGCTCCAAACACTCAAAGTCCATATTTTTCCTCAACTTACAATTCTGTGTGTGTTGAAAAGGAAAAACAGACAAGATTTCTGTTCTGTCATGAATCATGATTATTTACATGCTCAAGAGAGCACATACAAGCAATAAGAGTTCAGTTAATTAACAAGTTTTCTGTTCTTTCCAAACATCGGAACTCAGAACTAGTTCCTTTCTATTTTGAAAGCAAAATTTATCTGTTCAGTGCTTTTTTTTTTTTAATGCCTTTTTTTAAATGATATTCTAACATTAAGTTCTTATGGTTATAGGATGTGAGCAATAAGCTAGATGAGCAAAAGGAAGAATGTATCTCTCAGCTAAAGGAGAATGAAATGTAAGAGCCAGATGTCATGGAAACTTGTGCTTACTATCTTGATGCATATACTGAAGCAAACTTGAATTACTTAACTTGGAGATCCCTTGCACATGCATGTGTCAATGAGACTGAACTCAATTAATTTCATCCTAAGTGTCATATATTATTATATAGGATAATGTCATGGATTGTTTGTTATAAATCTCTGACAACATAGATTCTGTATCTTTTTTGTTGACTTGGTTGATTGATATCATTGGTTTATTTCTTTTTGGGCTGTCTATAATTTGTCTTCGTTGTGTTAAAATTAGTTAAATTGACATTCATTCATTTTCAGGTTAAGAACTAAGCTGCAGCAGCTCACCTATCAGTATGCTCTTTCTGAACAGCAATATGAACAGAAGGTAAAATTTAACTGTAACTTGTACAAATGACGTTAGTTTACCTATAATGATTGTTTACTTTATTAGGTAGGGACTTAACTTTTCTGTAGTGACTTTGTTTTGAATTAACAGTTGAAGCAGAAATCTCTGGAGCTTCAAATTGCTGATTTGAAGATTAAGCAGCATGAAGAGAAGTTAATCCAGGAACAGTCCCAGATGAAACTATATGCAGAACAGGTGTCACAGTTACTATCAACTGAAAAGAATTTGCGCTTACAGTTGACAGCTGATGGAGAGAAATTCCAACAATTTCAGGTCAACTTCTGTGTTATGTGTTGCTTTAAACCATTACTTTGGAACTGTCACCAGAATGAATAACTACTTAGTTAGAGGCTGTCAAATTTATCTGCAGAATTCTCGAGAGTACAAAACTGAGTTGGTTCATTTTCCCTGTAGGCTGTATGGTGTTAGTTATGTAGCCATGATAGTAGGTTGAGTCTCATGTAGATTACACTCTAGAAGGTTGGTTGTTGCGTAATTGATATGTTATTCAATGTCATGAAACAAAGAAAAGAGATTACCTTGGTTATCGATGGATATATCAATAACTTTGTGATTTCATGATCATTCTGTGATTAGTATCTTTGAGTTACTTGGAATTATAAGTCCTAGTTGTTAACAGAGTGAGAGTTGGGCCAAAAATTGGTGACTTTCAAATTGATTGGCCGAAGTGAACTCACCACCTGTCTCCTTGCTCTATGTATCTTTGAGTATCTTTGAGTTACTTGGAATTATAAGTCCTAGTTGTTAACAGGATGAGAGTTGGGCCAAAAATTGGCAACTTTCAAATTGATTGGCAGAAGTGAATTCACCATCTGTCTCCTTGCTCTATGTATATCATTCAAATATTTAAAAAAAAGTGCGCTTAGAGCCTTCCAATGTATGTCTTCATTAGGCAATACTGAAGAGAAGGCAACCTACTCTTTGTGCTCAATTTGAGCATTCTTCTTTCAGAATGGACCTTTCAGATACTTGGCGGATCACCTCACAAGTGCTTCAAGCTGAATGTTTGTGTTATCAATACACAACTATATCTGGTCTTAATTAAGTATTATATTTATTGTGTAGGATGCATTGTTGAAAAGCAATGAAGTTTTTGAGACATTTAAACAGGAGATCGAAAAGGTGAATTATTCCTTCAAATTACATTTTCATTTAGACACACTTTTCCTGATTTCTCTAGCACGGTGTAACTCGCATGATATGTTTGTTTTAAACTAAGCTACCCTGTTTGTTACATCTGCAAAATCGTAGATGGCAAAATCTATCAAGGAACTCAAGAAGGAAAATTTATTCTTGAAGAGCAAATGTGAGAAAACAGATGTTACTCTTATAGAACTCGTAGATGAGGTATAGTTTGCATGCACTTTTTTGTTTCTATTTCTTTCAATTACTCATCAATCAACAGTAAACGTTGAACTCAGGCATATGCCTTTATGATGCCTTATTAAGAAACAGCATAGATGAGGAATAACACAGATTTTTATGTTGGTCTGTGCAGCGTGAACGGTTGAAGAAACAGTTGGAGAAAACAAAGAATCAGAAAGAAAAGCTTGAATCCTTGTGCCGATCACTTCAAGCAGAAAGGAAGCAGAACTCCATCGGCAGCAACAACTCCGATTCAGTTCCATCATGAACACTGCTCTACTCAACTATGTAACTTAAACTGGTTTCAATAATCACCGTTACAAATGTTACCCGATATACTATTTTTGGCTATGGCTTGATCTCAAGAAACGGGAGAAAATATCAAGATGTTGTTGAGTGTAATTTATACTCTATTATTTTAGCATATTTGTGATCTCTCTATCTCCATGTTAAATCTCAAATTCGGGAATCGGATTTGTTCATTTTGTTATTCTTGTATGAATGGAACTATTCTTCTTCCAAAAATTCAAGCTTTTTACATCATTTTTTATATATTTTTCTTTTGGGTTGTACCTCTTTCTATAATGCATGTTCTTGCAAGGGAGGAGCTCTCCATATCCTTGCAAAATGGATATTGTTCTGTTCATGCTCTACCATGTATGACTAATGCCTAACACATGTCCACAATTAAATAAATAGGTCGGGTTTTGGTTAGGCCATTCCACACGATTATTTAAACAAATCAAAGTATTTAACACTAACTGAAATGATATGATTTCAACACTACATGAATCAATGAGTCGACTTGATTCGATTGTCACTTAGTGCTATGGATTGGGACAGAGTTACGCGAATTCATGAGTCGACTTGAACAATGAGTACTTGAATCGATGAGTTGACTCGATTCGATTGTCACTTAGTGCTATAAATTGGGACAGAGTTACACGAATCCATGAGTCGACTTGAATCGATGAGTACTTGAATCGATGAGTCGACTCGATTCGATTGTCACTTAGAGCTATCGATTGTCACAAATAAAATCACCCGAGAACAAAAATAGAAAGAGAGAAAAAATTACGAGTAAACGAAAATAGAGTCCATTTCATATCTCATATTATATAAATAAAACCCAATGGCCCCCAGTTCCGAGGCAGCAAAAGCATACTGTTGGAGAAAGATCCGGAAAAACCGTTTGTTTTCGTTCTCTCGAGCTAAAAAGCTCAACAAATAAACAAAGAACCCTGTGGCTGTGGCGCCAACATGGAAGACCAAAAGCAGCAGCAGCGACAAGGCAGCAACAACAACAATGCCAATGGGCCTTTGGAGACGACCAGAGCAGAGCGAGCTGTTTGGCTCATGAAATGCCCTCCGCTCGTCGCTAAAAGTCTCAAGCCTGACGCCTCCTCCACTTCTGCCTCTGCTTCTTCTCCATCTGATCAGCAGTCTTCTCGCCCTGTGGCCAAGGTCGTTCTCTCCATTGACCCCCTTAACTCCAATGAGGACTCTTCCTCTCCTCAGGTACTTTTTCTTTTCCATTTACTTGACAACTCAAAAAGTGGACGTTTTTCCCTTTTGGGTTTTTACTTTTTTGTGCATGCATTGTTGTTTCAGTCATAATCTTTGTAATTCTTGTGCATTTTCTTGTTTATAAAGCTTCGATCTTTGATCTTATGCATGCCCTTTTCTATGGATTTTCTGTTGCTGGGTTTTGTTGCTCATTTTCTTGTTTTTTTTTTTTTTCTTTCTTTATCATTTTTCCCAAAGTTTTCATTTTGGGGTTAAGAATTTTCATGATGTGGGTTTTATAGAGTTCAGCTCTTTATGTGTTTATCTCCAAACCCAATTTACAAGTTAGGTTTTCATGACCCAGGTCCTGGCTTTTCTATCAATTTTTATTGTTCTGCAAAGTTTTGGGTTAAAGTCTTCATCTTTGTAGTATGATAGTATCACTCATCTATGTAGATATCCTCTTTTGTTGCCCTTTCCTTTACATAAGTTGTTAAAATGCAGTTCACCATGGAACTGGCGGCCACTGAATCTGGAAATATGCCCAAGTGTTACTCTTTGGATATGTCTAAAGACTTCATTCCAATGTCTGTGTTTTCTGAGTTATCACAAGGTAAGTATGCCTCTTTCCTCTGTGGCTTTTCTTTACTGAAATGCATTTGGCTTGACATATTGATGCATCTATCCTAGTTGGGTATCCACTTGACATCATGCTAAACTTTTCTGCTCCTTTATTTTTGTCAAAAGCTAGCATTTAAAAATTGATGGTTTTTTTACTTCAGTTAAAATGGTAAATGCTACATCCAACAGATTGTTGCATCATAGGTAGAGAAGAATAACACTGTTGGCTTCCATGGTTTTGCGTTGGGAAATCAGCTTTTAGTGCCACAAAGAAATGAAAATACCCAAGTTCCTGGGTTAGGCTTTTTAAATTTGAGATTGGAATTCAATTTCTTCTCGGCTACATTTTAGTATCACATATTTCTAGTCTAGGTTCTTGTTAGTTCTAACTCTTCAATTTATTTTAGCGGAAAGATATGCTTACAAGGTGTGATACTGGATATCAGAAACATAATGTTAAAAATTGATTGGGGTTATATTACTTCAACAGAGCTGCACGCATGTATTAACTTTAGCTGTCCATTGTGCACTCTCAACTGAATGTGTGAAATTCTTTTGTGACCGTAGGAAAGTTATCTGTGGAGGGGAAAATTTTGAACAAATTTGATATGAAGCCCCATAATGAGAACCTTGAGAATTATGGGAAACTTTGCCGTGAACGGACGAAAAAGTATATGAAAAACAGAAAGATTCAGGTTCCTTGGATTACTTTATATATTTTTCTCACACTCTATTTCGGTAATCTAATAGCTATCAGTAGTATAATCACTAATTTGTCCCTTTTTTCCAATTTTCAGGTGATTGACAATGACAATGGGGCTCATATGAGGCCTATGCCAGGGATGATTGGTTTTGTAGCTCCTGGACCCAGCGTACGTAAAACCACCTTCTTTTTGTACATATTGTTCCTGAGTAAAAGTGTTCCATGCTTTCCATGGGACAGTCACATTATTTGGGACTGCATTTGTATGTTGGCATTTGATTTTAGTATTGATTATCCACCATTAAGTATTAAGCATAAGAAGAATTGTCTTTCATATAGGAAAAGAAGAAAATGCCAACAAAGGGGTCAGACATGAAAAGAACAAGGAGGGACCGTGGAGAAATGGAAGCCATTATGTTTAAGCTCTTCGAAAGGCAACCAAATTGGACGTTAAGACAACTGATCCAAGAAACAGATCAACCAGAAGTATGTTATGTTTTCTGGTTATTTCTTTCTGCATGATTTATAAGTCTTCCCCCATTGAATCTTAATATTAAAATCACTATCTTAATCTGTCTTTTTCCAGATTAATGTAAGACCCATCTTGTTACTTGCATATACAATATACATACATGCATCGCATTATTGACAAGGAAAGTTACTGAATATCCTCGTACAGACACCTTACTAAATATTGAGAAGGAAAATTACTGAAAATTTTCCAGAGGAAATTTGAAGACATCCTCCCTGTTAAATAGCACAAAATTAGGCAATCATAATGCTACTTTTACTAATGGAAGTATGAGAGATAGTGAGATGAATGCATTACACATGGTTAAATATAGAAGATGAGCAGAATCAAGAAACTAAATCCCATATGCATTTAAGTGGGAAAAACATAATTTAAAGGCAGCTAGATAAGAAACTTATCCTTTGAACTTGTAACACACCAATAACCTGATGATCTTTGATTAACTGTAAGCTTTTCGTTGTATCATCATTCTACTCCTACTACTTTGGAAATGTGACTGTTCTTATGAATTTGTCCCTCTGCAGCAATTCTTGAAAGACATACTTAAGGAACTTTGTGTTTACAACAACAAGGGAGCTAATCAAGGGACGTATGAGCTGAAACCAGAATACAGGAAATCTGTCGAGGAGCCAACTCCCGAATAGGTTGTATGATATAGGTTAACTTTTGCAGACACAGACATCTCCCAGCCAAAGGCCTCTGTTACTGATAATTGCTAGTTCCATTCTTCTTAGGCTACTGACCTGACCCTTCTTTTTAGCAGAGAACTGGAATTTTTGTCTAAGATTGTAGGTTTAGGATTTCATGGGCATATAATCATCATTTGAAGTATGCACTTTCATATCTTTGTATACAATTAGCAGTCAGCCTTCTTTTGTTCACATGATTTAGAGACGTTCCTGTGTCATTTACATTTCCTTTTTGTAATATGAAAATGCACTCAGCCACTGGCATTATCAGATGACTTTTTGTATGAGTTTGACTGAGATTCAGTAAAAATGGTTAGACTTGGGGATTATAAAATTTAAAACAACAAATAATCTGTTTTGCTTTATTGTTTTGGTCAATGACTTAAAGTATAACTGCCTGAATAATACAATCTATGACAAAGTCAATTGAAGAGGTTAGAATCAAATCTTACTTCAGCAGTGACGTGGGATTTGTGGACGCTTCGTTGTTGTCCTCTATGTGAAATTTTATATTAAAAAAACGAGTTTGTATAACTCAAATAATTAAGAGGCGTTACTATTTTATCTGATATCGTAATTAAATTAAACATGAAAACAAAACTTAAGAATCAATATGGGATTTAACTGACTCTACTCAAGTGAGCGATCATAAAGCTCCAAATTTTAGTGAAAACGTGATTTGCCAAAAAAATTGTGAAACACGTCTCTCACAATTGCTAAACACACCAACACATGCTTCCATGAAAAAACCCTGACAAGAAATTATGAAATAGTTTTTTTAAAATTTATTTAATAAAACAAAAATGCAATTCATCCACTCCACACAAAAATGAAAAAAGGCACGTGGTGTACACACCAACAGCGACTTGGACTTGGACTCGGGTGGGCCCCGCTATCAAAGACGTTCAACAACTTACCACGTCATAGATTGGACCCGAATAACCAAAACCGGTCCGAAACCGAATTCTTTTCCCATTCCAACTTGGGGAGCTCCATCCGAGTAAAAAAGCGTGTGCTCACCACGACGTCGTCTTCTTAATCTTAAGCCTTCCGAGCCATCTCTCTCATTTTCCCCAACGAAAGTCAATTTCGGTTCCACCTAACACCACCGATACCTTTCCTCATCATCTTCTTCTTGTTCTCTCTCTCTCTCTCTCTCTCTCTCTCGCTTTCTCTGTCTTCCAATCTTCCCTTCGCAAAACCTCTCTCAAGGTACGATTTCTATCTTCTTGCTTTTGGGTTCTTGTAATTTTCTGGTTTGGAATTGACGCCTTCGTGAATTGCATTGTATTCTTCAAAGTTGTTGTCTTTCTTGATTTTGTTGGTAATCTTGTTTGATTTTCAGTTTAAATTGATGTATTTGGATGGAGTAAATTGATGGGTTTTAAGAGGTTTAACATGAGTTGGATGATTTGTTTCAGCATAATATTTTTCTGGGAAA